AATAGAATCATTTTTAAATGGCGAAGAATTATTTCAACTGAATAGAATTACGAACAATGTTCACAAACTACGAAATTTACAAAAAAATATTTATTGGGCTCGCTAAAACATTTGTAATGTCAATGTCGCCAAATCCCGAGTGTACCGTAATACTAGGATTAAACCAAGCATTTTTGAATACATGGGAAAAATGTAAAAACATAACAAACAGTTCATCAGAATTTTTATAGATAATGAATTTCGTATTTTGTTCACAGTTTCTCTAATTTTGATGTCAACATTTATTAGTAATTTATCAAAGCCATTAACTTTGTCGTTTTCCATTAAAATTGTTAATATTTCTTTCTCCTTTTCCATTAATTTCCATTAATAACTTTGCAAAAATTGTACTTTTTGCTCTGTATGCGGTAAAATGTTTCATATTATGTCAGCATATTAATTCAAATAAATTCATCCTTACTTCAAAAAATAAAAATAAAGTCATCATTTTTAGCAGTGAAATAATTGCTAACGTGATTTGCATTGATTTGGGAAATATAATTTTTCTAAATATATAAAAAATGCATAACTATTTATAGAACATATAAAAAGCATAAACTACTTTATAGAACATAAAATGCAACTTACTTTATAGATTAGTTTCATTTTTAAATATTTTTTGCTATAATATTTATTAAAAAAAAAATATTTTAAGTATTAATTGTTTTTCAAAATTAAAAAACAATAATTTATAACGTATTTTTAGTACAAATTTAATAATTCAAGTATATATATATTAAATTTATATTTCATTAGATGAATCTACTGTAGATTAATATATTTAGATGAAATAAAGTAATGAAACATCGCAAAATAAATCTTATGTGGACTTCAGATTCTTGAAAGGGCAGATTTAGGCTCTTTTTATTCTAAAAGTAACGCTGATGAACTATGAAAAAGATGCTAAAACGACCACGTCTAAAAGAGGTCATATCATGACGTTTTAACGACGTTGAAAAATTGCCAATATGCAACGGCAAATATTTTGAGTCTTCGCAACGTTGTAAAGACGTCGTAAAAGTTACCTCGACCACTTTGCAACCTCCCGGACCAGTTTGTAACGTCGTGTGCTACTTGGAATGTGTTTCCAAATTTTCATATGTTTATAAGTTTTATGATTTTAACAGTATTGTATAATTAAATTATTTGATATTAAACCAATATCATTTCTTATGCTCCCAGGATTTAAACCTTATTGAGTGCTGCAGGTAAAATGCAAATCCCACTAAATGTCTTGTAGTGGTATTGAAAGACAGAACCTGATAACCACAGAATATGCCTGGTTTAATATGCCTTATGAGTGAAGCTGTTTCATCATTGAGTTGATACCATGTTGAGTAGCTGCAATTGTTGAGGTGCATTAAAGTGTTATTAGTTGAATGTGTCTATTGTTTTTGGGATTTCAGTGGAATTAGTTGTAAACAACCAGATGAAACATGTAATTTCTTTATTATATATTCCTTTAAGCATCATTTAAATTTCTTTCTTTGTTGCTTATTCAGTTTTGGATTATTTAAGATACCAGTTTATGTAAGAAGTAATGCAGGATTTCCGCACCCTCTCTTTATACAGTCAAAAGTCGTTAATTCGGACACCCATAATCCGGAATGATCTATAATTCGGACCTCAAAGCTACAAACTTTCTGCGCATGCGTCGCGTTCACGCATGTGCACAGGCGTTTACGAGAGCGCGTAAGACCCTTACGGCTGCGAATATGTGCGCATGCGCGTTTAAATTGTAACGGAGTTATACGCTAAGCTAAAGTTATCTAATTCAGTTAATGTTGCCGATTGCGTTGTTCCTTAACCTTCGAATTGGATCCGGCTTATTATTTTTTGCAGACTGTTAGAGCAATTTTATAAAAGTAAGCTTGAACTTTGACGATTATGTCAAATAGAATTCCGATATATATTTACTACAAAGCGAAAGTATGTTTTGAAATCCGAAATCTGTTTATCAATTTCACGCTGCTCTGCGGCAGAGGGGGGGCAGAAACGTCATTATTAGATTATGATAGATTAGAAAGATTATGTCAAATAGAATTTCCGATATATATTTACTAATATGTAATTTGTATCTACAAAGCGAAAGTATGTTTTGAGATCCGAAATCTGTTTATCAATTTCACGCGGCGGATTGGAAGTTGATCTGTCAGCACTATCCTTATCTTCAGGGCAGATGTTTTTATTTTATTTGGTTTATAATTCCATACTAAGTGTAGTATTTCATTCTGTCTTTGATATGATTTAAATCAAGTTCCTCGTCATTATAATTTTCGCTTCCGATAGTGAAGAAAGTGACCCAGAGGTTATTGAAAACGAAAAACATTTCGATTGACAAATTAGTGGGTGTTCTCAACACAGCAATTATAGGACTTGAACAGCGGAACTTTGTAACTAACAAACAAGAAATTATGTCTGTTTAATAGAATTAAAGAGAAAAGTACTATCACATGAAACGAAGCAACTTACATTGAAGGAAATGTTTAATAAGTAAACAAAAAAATAAATATTAAGCTTTTTTCTTTTTGTAAATTTTGATACCCTTTTAGATCATAATTGTTCTTTATTTCATAAATTACGGTTTCATATTTTTAATTTTGTAATTTCTGCATGCCATCTTACCAGATTTAAACTGATGATCTATAATCCGGAAAAATCGATAATCCGGAATCGCCGAAGTCCCGACGAGTCCGGATTAACGACTTTTGACTGTATATATATATACACAGCTAGATAATTAATGTATCATATCTATTTAAATGTGTTTGCTGTAAGTATAATGCTGAAGAGAAGTTTACCATCAATAATTTCAGCTGCTATTATGACTGTAAATTAAAAGGAGTTATTTAATTTGGTTATGAATCTGTTGTCATCCTTAGATTAATTTGTTTTTTTAAAATTTTGCTATTTACATTGTTGAAAAGGGAAACTGCCGGACATATGCTTTCAAATAACTTAAATCTTCAGCAATAGGATACTTCTTGAAAATTACAAATTTCTGAACAGAGTTGCATGATAGTTATTCATTTTGTTTGTTGAAGTCCTTTTTATTTTTGTAAACTTCAAGGAATCTTCTTTAGTCAGAAGACTAGCAGAACTTTGAAAATCATACTTCAGGTTTTGTGAATATAAGCTTAACAGCTGATGAATATGTGATTATTTTGTAAGACTACATTAAGCAGAATTATTTATTCAAAATGTTTTAATTCATATAATAATTAGTCAACACAGAAAAAATGCAGTTTATAACATTGCTATGGTTTTCTTCTTAGATTTACAGCAGCTTAGTATTACAGAGTTTCAGCAAAATTAGTACTTTTTATGTACAATTATTTTTAATAATTATATATTTTGTTATTTAAAGCTTAATAAAAAGGAGAGATTAAAAAAATTGTGTAAATCTAATTAATAGTTATTCAAATTATATAGTTGGATGAAATATATGTATAAATTCTGGCAGCAAATCAATACAGGGAGGACATAAGGTTTTAAAAAGCTGTTCAATTACTCAACCCCTCCTAAATCAAAGTTAATTAACCTGAAAATTAATGATCAGTCTAGATGAAGGCCACTCTGTTCAAATGCATTCAGTAACGAACAGAGGAGCTTCTTCATTTAAAATAGGCTTATATATACACAAGTTGAATGTATCATCTGCTGGAAATGCACTTGATACATATAATGTAACAAATATCACAAGACAGCTTATAAGGTAATTTCTCCCTCTTTTCTGCATGCCTTTGTAGTTTAATTGGATGCATGCTCGACACATATTCAAGAGGTCTGGAGCTCAAATCCCGGCGAGAGCATTGTAGATTTCTTTAATATCCTGCTTTCGAAAAATTCTGTGAGACTCTGCAAGTGGCATCTGAACTAAAAGGGTGGTGTATGGTAATTCGTCACCACCAAGGTTAAGCTCATCTCCTGTTGCCCTTTAAAAGGGAGGGTATATAAGGTATTTTCTCTCTCTTTTCCCCATGCCTTCATGTTGTAATTGGAAACACGCTTCCCCCGTATTCTGGAGGTCAAATTCCAGTCGGAACATGGACATTTTTCATGCTCTAGGATTGATATGACGTAATGACTCTACAAGCTATTTATAAATGTGCTCACAAAAGCCTATTTTGTCATTAAATATGGAATACATTTAATTTATTAAATATTGCTCTGAAAGGGAAGGCTAAGAATGGGTATACCAATGCTTATTGATAACATACAATTCCAAACACCCTGCACCTAGCTTTACTTTAAATAATTTGAAATTAAACACACTTTAATGTATAAAGAGTTGAATTGTAAGTTATTTGTTGGATAGTAAGGATATTACTGTAACAGGCTCACAAATATATCGAAAACTGTAAGCTCGAGGTTATTAAGAGTCATAGAGGTTGAGCAGCCCTAGTGTTCTTCAGTACGATATCAAATTTTGGGTGACAATTTCTGAGCAGGGGTGCATCCGTTAACCGATTCTCTCCCATGTATTACTCTCATCACATCAGAATATTACCCAAGAAAGCTCGCAGTTTTTTTTTTTTTTTTTTAATTGAAGAAATATAAATTTTTCTATACGTTTTATAGAACAACGTAAAGGCAATTTATCTTGGAGAAAAATAACTTTGCAAAGGCTATGTGTAAGACACGTGTATGATATAACTTGTTTTACACATAAGCAGGGAAGGAAAGTAAAGAATCCAAGCATTTGTGGTACCTAGAAAATTAAATCTTGATTAAAACTGACCGTAATTTAGTTCTAAAGTTACTGAACCACCGATGAAGTTACATATATTCAACGTTAGTAGGGGTATTAGGTCGACGACTGATTTGTTTTATCTTTCGAAAATAGTATTGAACTATGTTCAAAATTTTAGATTTAAAAAAAAAAAATATAGATTTCTAATTTAACTTGTCATTTGTAGTTGGAGTTTCATCTTAATAACTGAAATCTGTAAAGATTAAACTAATAATAAAAAACAGAGATGAGAATCTTTTATTAGCAAATTGATATTAGAACATTGCGACATTATAGTTTTTCTGCTTACTGCATACTTGAATGGTATTTTGAAACTGAAAGCTTTTTTCTTAGGAAAAAAATATTTAGTTTGCTTATCCGTGCATTTAAAAGGCCTTACCTGCCCTCATTGATTATTTTATAGGAGCTGACCCGAGTAAGATTTTATTCATTGGAATATGTCCATAACTCGGTTTAAAAATTGTCTGGAATGAATTCGATGATATCTAGAACTCTCAGAAAGTTTGTATAGATAATATTTTATACCTTGCCTTGATGTTTTAAATAGCTTAGGTTTTTCTGGACAGTGACGAATTTCTCACTTGTTAGTAATATATGGACTGTGTATCTCAGAAATATTTTAGTCTCCTTCTGAGAGTGTTTGTAAGATGTTTGAGAACAGGAATATTTGGTAAATGAAGTAATTTGAAAACTATAATTCAGGTCTTGATTATCCCAAACTTCTAATTATCTTTACTGCAGTCTCTTGAATTTTCCTGAGAATTCCATCTGGTTCTAGAGATGAATGATGTCTGGCAGATTCTTGAGAAGTAGTTGATGTGCTTATATTTATGAAATCTGTTGAATTTTCATTCCTAAGTAACACCGAAGTTCGACAAAGACCTTGCAGACAAATCTGAAAAAAAAAAAAAAAAAGTATTAAGTTCAAAGAACTGCAGGCTTTCCATACCTTTTGATTTTTTGGAGGATCAGAACTTCATGAAGTTTCACGCTGAATATCATCTTCCTGTAGATGCGCTAGCACTGAGAAATGCATACAATGTTTTTTGTTGAGAAACAGAATTCAAGAAATAGGTTTTAAAAAGTCTTCCGTAAGAGAGAAAAAATTAAAAAAAAAAGGTAAGGCCTCTTTTCAAATTATCATCAAATCTTTTATAATTTATCTGATTTTGAATGAATTTTATTCATATTATGTATCATTACCTATACAAAATTTGTCGGGAAAATAGTAAGACTGATTCTGTTGGTTCAATCTGGAGTTTTCAGAGAAGATGGTTGGTGCCGGTTATTAGGTAAATGATCCCTTTCTCGTCAGTTGGCTTTGAGCTTTTTAACAGAGTGCGGATCGCTTCGGAAATGGAGAACTTTTGAGCTTCGAATGGTGGTTGTCCAGAAATGCATTGACTTAGCCCAGAATAAATAAAGAACGTGGAGGGAGAGTGCTCAAACTTCATGACTCAGTGAAAAATTTATTGAAATCGTTTTGGCAATTTACATTGAGTTCTTTTCGAATTTAAAAAATAGCAATTAAAGTTTACGTTCTGAGTTGAGTAAAACCTAAAGATGTGTACAGAAACATGAGTATAAAATTCATGATGAATCTATTAATGTGAGAGCACTTTCGGGTTTAGGAATGTTGAAAAGTTGAAATTTATGTGTGTAATGCTCAAAATGAGTGCGTAAACAGAAGTACAGTTGAAAGATTTTATGTTATAAATGTTGAATAAATAAACTGTGCTAAAAATTATCGTCTGGTTCGAATTGTATTATCTGAATTGACTGTTCCTTCCTGTGATGCCTGACATCCGTAACAATGGTCGAAACGTATATGAGTGTCAAGGAATGATACAGAATAAAATTTCCTGCTAAAAATAGAAAAAAAAAATGTGACCAAGACGCTTCTCTTGATGTTGAATTCGGAGAAAATACTACTAGTGTTTGGGGGACATAGAATTTTCAAGGAAAGAAGAAAGAGGACCAAAGATGAACAGCGCACAGGCAGTACCTCCTACATAGCTCCAACATGGAGAATTCCAGGGAGCTTTCGGCCTATTTAACTATGATGATTTCGAGTTTGATGACTTGGAAGCTGCTGATGTCTTTGATGTCGGTAGCATCCATCCTTCTCCAGCAATACGCTGACAGAGTTGAAGATACATACAGGGTGATTATAATTAAAGTTGCGATTTCAAAACGCTCTAACTTTAAAACTGCTCGTCAGAATGACTTCATATTTTACTAGAACAATCGTGAGACAATTGAATTTTGTTTGGCGAAGGGAAAAATAGTTCCAAAATGGTGGTATCAAGGGTTGTTAGTCAAAAGGAAATAATAGACTCCAAGGGTTTACGACAGGCGGAAAGACATGTTCACAGCGAACAGTTTAAAGAATACGTGTGTACAGCGAAAATGATGATAGTGACAATAGAAAAGGAAGAGCTTCATGAAACAAACACCTTACGGATAAATTGAGGCATAAGTTTTTCGATATGGCCTCCGCCTTGTTCCGCTACTAGATAGAAGCGCAAAACGGGATGTTCCACTACATTTTGGAGGGTATCTGTGCTGATTCTATGAATGTGGTGCGTGATGCTTGCCTTCAAGGCTTCCAGATTCCTAATCTACCCACTATAAACAACATTCTCCAGGTTTTCCCAAAGCCAAAAATCACATGGGTTTAGTGGGGCGATCGTGGCGGCCACCCTGTTGGAAAATGGCGGCTAATGATTTTGTGAGAGATCAGCAGCTGCTTCACACAAGTAGCAATGTCCGGAGGATCGCCATCTTGTGTAAATATTGTGCGATCTACACACTAATGCTGGTAAGGGCATGGTTAAGCAAAAATGCATCATACTGATTGACAAAAACTGAGCAGTTAACGGAACCCGCAGGTGTGATCACGAAGAAGAACGGGCCGATGACAAACGCTGCCATTATTCCGCACCACACAGTGACCTTTTTAGACTGAAGAGTAATGGATGTAGCGGGAACGGATTCTTGATCACCAATATCCTGTAATTTTGAGTATTTACAGAACCTTGAAAATGGAAATGGGCTTCGCCAGACCACAGAATGTTCCCTGGCCATCCATTGTCCACTTCCATCTGGGCAAGAAATCATTGTGCAAACGATTCACGTGCTTCCAGGTCAGCAAGTAGCAACTTCTGCATACGAATTATCTTGCACGGATAACAGCGCAAGATGGTTCCACAGGACATTACGTACCGTGCTGATAGGCATATCCAACATTCGTCCAATTCCCCGTGCACTGCTGATTCCTGCATCACTGTTCGTCAATTCTCGTAACGTTGTAGCCACATCTTCCACTGCCGCGGCCGTAACTGATTTTCGTCCTCTACCTCGTTTCACGTCAAATAAACCGGTCTCTCCGAATTTATCTATCATTTTTCGTAGCCCGTAAATGATCATGGGGCCGGATTTTTTACCTTTTAATGTCCGGAACTTCCTGATAGCTGTTAACGAAGAGCCACCGTTCTTATAAAAAAAGCTTCATAAGCAGAGCGGGATCCTTTTTTGTCAGTCATGAGGAAGCATTCAGGCAAAGCATTATGTGTTCCGCTAGTGTTCTGCATTTTTATCACAGCTATGTCAGTGGTGCGTATGTTAAGTCTTAGGAATGTGCATACCTCCACAACAGCCATGTCAACCCTGACAATGCCATCTATCGGCACATTTTGAAACTATTTTTTTTTTCATTCGCCAAAAAAATTTCCATTGCCTCACGATTGTTCTGGTAAAATATCAAGTCATTCTGACCGGTAGTTTAAAGTTAGAGCGTTTTGAAATCGCAACTTTAATTATAATCAACCTGTAGATCGAAAACATTTATCATTTTTGGATGTACCACGCATAGGACACCCTTGTTGTTAAAGTTACAAATGATGGGTGGAATTGTCAATTATTTCTAAATATAAAATGATGAGCAAATTATTTCAAGACTAGGAAGCTGGAAGAGAACTTGGTGAAGAAAATGAACAGTAGGGTGAAATACAGTGGATGGACAAAAATATGGAAACACCTTGTGAAATGCATGTTTGAAAAGAAAGATTGATTTTAATGAAATATGTAGGTGGCGCTGGCGTTTTTGACTACTGACGCCACCTATACAACTTCGTAAATGTGGTAAACAGTTCAGTTGTTGTCGGAGTACAGTTATGTGAGGTTGTCATTGCATTATGTCAGAGTTAAGAGACTTCGAACGTGGGCAAAGTGTTGGAGCACGTATGGTAGGTGCTTCCGTAAGCAAGGTAGCCGAGGTGTTTAGTGTTTCAAGAGGTACTGTATCAAAGATTTATTCCGCATATTTGAAAAGCGGAAAAAAACATCATCTGCTAAATCACAGCGCGGACGAAAGTGTGTCCTGAGTGATCGTGACAGACGATCATTAAGGGCAATTGTGACGAAAAATAAGAAGACCACAGCTGCAAAAGTTACTGCTGAAATGAATGTTGTGTTATTAAACCCTGTGAGTACCAAAACAATTAGAAGGGAGCTTCATAAACAGGGAATTGCTGGCCGTGCTGCAATTGAGAAGCCACTCATCAGTGATGCTAATGCCCGTAACAGGAAAAGGTGGTGTTTAAGTCATAAAGCCTGGACTACAGAGCAGTGGAAGCGAGTAATATGGTCTGACGAGTCTTCTTTCACATTGTTTCCCACTTCTGGCCGAGTTTACGTCTGAAGAACGCCATCTCAAGCCTATAATACAGACTGCTTGTTGCCAAGAGTGAAACATGGCAGGGGTTCTGTTATGGTTTGGGCAGCCATATCGTGGTTCTCTGCTAGCCCCATGATAACTGTGTCAGAGCACATGACTGCCAAGACTTATGTGAACATTTTGGCCGATCAAGTTCATCCCATGGTACAAACTTTGTTCCCCGATGGTGATGGTGTCTTCCAAGATGACAAAGCCCCTGTTCACACAGCTCACATTGTCCAGGACTGGTTTTCTGAGCACGAGGATGAGTTGTCCCATCTCCCCTGGCCACCACAGTCACCAGACCTGAATATTATCGAACCTTTGTGGTCTACATTGGAACGGAAAGTGCGTTCTCGTTATCCACCGCCAACATCGTTATCTGAACTTGCCACCGTTTTGCAGGAAGAATGGTATAATATTCCCTTGGCAAACATACAGGAACTGTATTTATCCATTCCGAGAAGACTGCAAGCTGTTTTGGATGCCAACGGGTTTCCTACACCATATTAAGCAAAGAAACATGTTTTTAAAGGTGTTTCCATATTTTTATCCAACCCCTGTAGATCTTTTGCATGGTGAAGAAAAATATTTTTGTTCATGACTTTCGATGGAAAACTAGCAATTTCGCTTTACGGTATCCTTATTCAGTGGGCATCTCTGAGAAATAAAAGGTATTTAACAAATATTCAAATCAGCAAGAAAATTTAAATAATAAGTGATACAGATTTAAATCAGATTATTAGAGGGCATGGAAGCTTCTCGACTATTTCAAGATATTTGGATTGCAGTCCTCTAAGAATTGCAAAATAGGCGGGGAACGTAACGCAACTCACGTTTCGAGGCTTGTCCAGTTACACAGAGCGATAGGGATGCAATTAAAGGTTTTCGTCAGAAATGCCATTTTTAGAAATTTTGGAAGAGCAACTGAATTTGCAAGGCACGATAAATGAGGATTTGTTTGACTAGCACCAGTTCTTATGCATTTCTTTTATAGTTTCTTTTGCTTTTTTTGCATGTATGTGTATTTAGGTCTAGCAGACCCAATGGTTGTCAACCAGTCGTATTTTGTTTATTTGTTTCCTTTTGGTTCTGCTGCATGGTCTCGTGGCTGAAAATGGTATGCTTGTATGGTCTCATGGCCAGGTAGACTAGGGCTGTGCTTATTATACTTGAAACTCGAAAAACCACACGTCTTTAAATCGAACGCCCTTAAAGGCCCAGTTTTCGTGGCTGTAGTTAGGAAAGATCATGATAAATGGCCACATCAGTAAGTAGTAAATTTCTAGTAGTAAGTAGTAGTTTTCATAGTCGTAAATTTCTGCTCATTTATTTTTTTCTTAGCAATAGTGACTTCATTTTTTTTTTTTTTTTTTTACGACTACCGTATTTTTATTGTCGATCCAAAATAAATCTTAGCATTTTTCTGGTATGTGGAATTGGTAATTCCTTTACTTTTTTAAAATAATTTTTTTCCTAATTTATTGATTCTGTAAGTATATACTAGTCTTAACTATTTGCGGTCGTGTGCTTATTTTCAAAGAGTGAAGAGTTTTTGCCGTTTCAGTCGTATGTCTGCTCCACCACAGCAAAGAACCGTACTGATCTTATATTAAGTCAACAAGCTTCATAATCTTGCATATTATAACTGTTCGTTCAACAAAAATTAATTCCGACCAATATGATACCTACGTATACACTTAATACGACCGCAAAGGATATATAATATTGGTGCGATACGTAATATGTCATTCTAGCGTTATGCAATATTGGTGGAGTAAAGACTATTATAAATGAAAGATGTGATGAGAATCACAGTGTATTGCCATAATAGTATGATGCCAGGTTTTTATACTTAAGAACAAACAATAAGACAGAAACTAAAAGTTGCTGCGAAATTCCTACATTTATCAGTGTTTTTCCCACTTTGATATTTTTTACAGGACACAGTTAAAAATTGTCATATGACGTCATCAGTATTTACTGATTGGGTACTCTCAGTTTCATTTATCTTCGGTTTAAGCACCTAAAAGAAAATTGAAAGTTAAGGAAGTAAATAAGTATAAGTCGACGAAACAAGCGAGAAAAAGCGTAGGTTTGAGAATTATAGCAGACCCAAATGAATCAGTACTCTCATCCTTCAACAGTCTTGATCATAAACACAAACATGTATGATATTTGTATATGTTTTATGAATATCATGTTATGCATAGTGCTGAATATTATCCATTGTTTCACATAGCTGCTGTAGATCTCTGGGTGTATATTACCAGCGGATATAATATTAATTGTTTATGTCAGGGGTCTCCGAAAGGCTTAACCCGCGGACCGTATTGCTGTTTCACGAAGCTTCGAGGGCCAAAAGCTAGTTAACTTAGCATACCATGGTGATGTAATTATGATGAATAGCATACACGTTTTTAAACTAGGTAGAGAGATTTTTTACATTTGGATCTATACCGGTATGAAAACATAAAGAAATTTTTTTTGAAGAAATTTATGCAGTTTCACCTAACGTAAATTTCTTAAAACTGTTTAAACATTTACAAAACATTCTTGTACCAACATATCAGAGATTTCTTCGGTTAGCAATGTAACGTTAAGTGGATTTACCTCGCCGTTGTAACAAAATGTACTGATAGTACATTTTGATCAGATGCAAACTTTCGCGCAAGGGCATTTCATATTTTGGGCGCGTTTTGTGTGAAAAAAGTCTCCCAAACTAAAATAAATTACAACCTATAATAGTTATTCTCAACAAGGATACGCCAACCGGACCAAACATTCTGTCCTTTAAATAGAGGTGCCCCTACTTCAGAGACTACATACTAAAAAATGTAATTTTATTAGAAATTCAGGTTGTATCAATCTTTAAATTAATACTATGAAAGCAGAAAAAGCTATTTCGTGGAGTCTTTATTCTTGTAAAGAGAATAATGACAAATTTTTTTAATAGAGTGCTACGGTATTTCATTCATTGTAACTTTAGAAACAGTTGTGTAATGCTTATAATATACTTTATAAAGAACGTGCATGACAGGCAATGCATTTATAGATAGGTTATTATATAAAATAGTTGATGTGTATGTTACCTTGCTTATTTTAAATTTTCTGAAATTATTTAAAAAAAAAAGTAGTTTGGCTGGCCGTAGTTTGAAGACCCCTGGTTTATGTTATTTAGTAATTTTCAATAAAGTAATGAAAGATAAGACATTTTAGCATTTAGAATAAATAATTTATCATTTTTTAATATTTTAGAATTACTTTCAAAATTGCAAGATTGTTTCAAAATTGCAAGATAAATTGCGAGTCTCCCTATCATAAAACAGAGGATGAAATGAAAAATAACAACAAAAGAGTTATCTGAATGGTACAAAATTCGACAAATGTCATGAACATATATAGAAGAAGAAGTGATTAAAATTTCACAGGAGCTGAATATTTGATGATACAGAAGATACAGCTACAAAATAGCGAATAAATCAGTAGGAAGGTGGCCCATCTCTGGCTCTTATGCTAGCTGTTATCCGGTTTGAAATAGATTAATAGATTTGGTGGATAACATCCTGCAAGATTTCTTGCTAAACTCTCTCCAATCGACAAGTTAGGTAAACGACATCACGGGATGGTCCGAAGCGTCTGCTCATCAGAACCCAAACTGCTGTACTGAAAAGAGGTATGAGGAGCTAGCTGGCTATGGAAGTTTTTGATAAACACGAAGACAATCAGTAGAAATGACTGTCGTATGTGGCCAGGAATTACCCTGTTGAAATTTAAGCTGAGATGCATTGAATGAAAGACAATGCAATGTATTATACAATATCACCGAGGTACCGCCATGCTATAAAGATGTCATGGATGACAACTACAGGGGTACGGCTGTCAAAATAATAGCATAACAGACCATAACTCCCTGTTGTCGGGCTGTATGGCAGGCGACAGTCATATAAGTATACTACCGTTGTCCCGAACGTCTTCAGGATAACGCGTCTTCGCTGGTTATTGTGGCTTAATTCTTGACAAGACTCATCGCTGAAAAATAATCCAATTTCAGTTAGGGATATTTCAGGTCGAATGAACTAGGCATCACTGAAAAGGCCCTTTTCGATTTGTGCGCAGAAAAGGGGTAGTACCGACACAATGTAAATTGTGAGCACAGCCTACGTTCTCTGAATTATCTATCAATGGTTCTTGTGGTCACTGCTATCTCGGTTATAATTGGATTCTTGATAATGATGAATCAGGTGCTTTGAGATCCATTTTGACTGTCGGTCTGTTGTCTCCCTAGATGGACCACTCCTTTCTTGACCTTGTGGTCTACCATGGTTTTATCTAATATTGATAATCATATGATTGAGATGTCATATCTGTCCTATCATTTCTGCCAACACTGTCGAATGGCATTATCATTCTGACCTAAGTGTAGAGAGATCTTTCGTTTTGATCACATTAATATTTTTAGGTCGACTATATATCCTCTGTCAGTTGGTAACATGCTTACACTGTGCGCGAACCTGTTTGCAAGGCATTGGGACAATCGAAGTGAGATGGAATCCAAGTCTTTGAATTCTAAGTGAACAGGCAGAGCATGAAATAAATGAATAGGTGGACTGGCAATTGAATCAATAAATTGAGCTTTGTAGCTCCACCTGTTTATTCATTGGCCGCCAAAAGCTTATCATTTGCATGTCAGATCGAAATCTATTCGCTTACGAATTTCCTTACAGCTCGATTACTCGTTTTTGGTGTGTCTTTCTTTTTGGTATATTTGAAACGATCTGGTTACATTATGCTTAATAGTAGAGGTCGATACTTTTAAGATTTAATTATGTTTTTCCAACGGCGGGCGCAAGTCGTCATAGATGTTGGCCGCTACCAAGGCCCGAAGTGGGGGTCACTTTATTATGAACAACAATGGTCCACCTGTGGGCCATTGTTGCCTCCTATGAAAGAACATATAGTTTGAAACAATGCCTTCTCCGGAATTCGATCCCGGGCCCTTTGGCACGGCAGTCAGAATCACTAACTACTTTCCCGTTTGGGCGGCTAAAGATTTAATTTTATTTCCATTATTCTAACTGCAGATGGGAAGGCTCAGAGGCATGCTTTATTACTTTTTTTCTTGCTGATTTTAGGTATTTTAACTCTAACCCGATTATGTTTAAGAACACAGCTCATACCAAGTATTAGAAAACCGAAAAAAAAAAAAAAATGCTAACTTACTTTTCCATTCCCACATGGACTTCCTTCGAGCGCAGGATGCGCAGGCTTTGCCCATGTTCCCGAAGCGCACCAAAGTTCACGGCATACATTCTGGAAAAGAATGGAGACAATTAAATGATGATTTAGGATTATTTCCACATCCTGATGTCTCTTTAATCTCCTATCTGGAAAACCACATATACTCTAGTACTACGATTGGTACAATTTAGCATTCTGTGCTTTATAAAATTAGAGAAGAAAACTGATCAGGATGTAAATAAGTATTAATTTCGATTTGATCAGATAAAAAAACTCAGAAATTTGTGTGGAGTAATAACTGTTCATTATATTAGATTCTTTCGGATGCTTTATTTGTTTTTGGATTTTAATCGTCAAAAGAACTAATGGCACATTTGTTTTCTCTACTACTACGATTTTATTACGCGAATTACGCTGAAAATTAACCCTTCCCCCCCAAAAAAAAAAAACTGAGCAGGACAGTCATGATTTCTTTGCGTCAAGCAAGAGAAAATAACTGCTGGTAAAATCTATGAAACATAAGGTTATCAAATAAATGCTGTGGGTTGAATTTCGTTTCGTTATAGTTTAAGAAAACAACATATATATAGAATACAAATTTATTTTTAAGTTCTCACATTTTGAATTTTCTGGTAGACTGAATATCCTTGCAATTCAATAACAATCTTCCTTGTATTTTACAATATGAATCAAAACTGAAGCCAGAAAGAAAGAATATTCTGAACGAAAAACAGTTATTGCATTTAATTTATCACACTTCATACGTATTATTTGATTTACGCTTCTGAATTTTAATGAGAGGATCACTGAAGATAACACGTAAAACCTCAACGTCCAAAGAAGTGAAAAAATTATTTTCGCTTTTTCTGACGCTTTCTGCGACTTACGTGAAACAAGGAAAATCATAATTTTATTTGAAATATTTAGAGCACATCACGTTTTCCAAGTACTGTTAATGCAATTTTAGGAATTCACGAATTTGACTAATATTTGGTTCTGCGACTGGAAAGAGATAAAGATTAGAAAAATTTTAAAAACTGCTACTTGTTATGAATTTGAATTTACTAAAATAATGATAACTGAAATGCAAATCATTGTAGATATTCTGACAAGCAGCAACCGAGTAAATTGTGAGGAAGTAATTTATTATGTTACTCAAACAATTTTAAGGAAAGACAATTATTTTGAAGTAATAAAAGCAGATAAAATTAGATAAGAAAGTCTTCAATTTGTTTCAATGTTTTATTCGAGATTTTGAACGATTGAAGAGACTGTGCTACTGCACCTTTTAAAAGCAGAAGAAATTATTTTTGAGAATATTATTACATAAACCTATTTGATTTGAAAGAATAAGTGTGCGCTAAAATGTTAAGAGCAATTCCTTGTTTTAAACTTCCATTCCCGAAGCCAAACCTAAAGCTGAGATTAATTAACTGAGTAAGATTAACTTTAGTTAGGAATTTCAATTGTTAAAAATATAGTGTTCTTAGTTTTCAATTCTTAAATGCTGTGATTGAAGAAAAATAAGTGTCCGTTGGTGCTATGATACATAATTACTGTACTTGCTGTTACATTTAAGGAAAGTATTCTGAAGAGGGAGTAATATTGGCATTTTATCATAGCGTGTAAGAAACAAGTTTGAAAATTTTGAGAGCAAGGTAGTCGATATGGAACCCAAAATTAAATCACGCTAAACTCAATACTTTCTGTAAGGCGCTACGCTTATTATAATATTATTGTTTAGATTAGAGCTAAGCCATGATATTTTAAATTTTTTAGGGGGAGGATGATCTCAAATTTGAGATAAACAAGGCTTAATTTTCCAGATATAAAGCTCGAATGCCAAAACTGTCCGCTTCACCACTGCCTTCCAAGAGTAAGTGGCAATTAATTCGGTATAATATAAAACGTTAAGCTTTAATTCACTCTAAATTTTGCAAGAAGGTTGACGCTACGAGTTAGTTCACGAGTGCAGTAATAAAACTAATAACATATGTTTTATTTCTTCAGGTGAAAGTCAGTACATTTGGAAAACGTTTTGTATATTTTACAAGCAACACAAACCTTAACAGGAAAAGCATTACACCGACACGATTAAATGTGTAGCGTTGATTAATGTTATTGGGTTGGCTGAATGTTTCTTATTTTCTTCAGACCCTTACATAGTGACTGCCCACAACTAGAGCAAATGTTTACTTTTCATGTAAATCTCCTCTGTCTTTAGCACCAGAAGGACTCACATAAGGGATCCATTTGGCATGCTCTTCTCTGATATTTAGGTTCCGACATACATTACCGAAAGTTATCCAGTTTCTTATTCTTTGAGAGTCGATTATTCATAGAGTTGGTTCTGCTGTGTGTTTATTTAGTTAGTTAAGCTATGAGCAAAATATGCTGTAGCTTTAGAATAACCTGAAACAGGCCGCTGCTGTTCTGCTTATTTTGAATCGTTTTCATATAGCAGAAATGACAGAATGATCCAGAGAAATGGAATCGGGGACTTCTTTAATGAACTGTCATGTCAAGTCTCTCGACAGTGCACTAGCCATGAGAATTTTCCAAACATAGTCATCTTATTGTAACAAAACTAACGTAATCCAAAATCAAAAACAATTAGAAATTTTCTTTGAGGACTGAAACATTTCGGCGCAGACAATTCATTTAACACGAAGCCTAAGCTTTATATTTTCCGAGAAAGAAATCGTGTTTTAGTTATTTCGTTTTGACTTGCATATGTTTGACTGTTCAATGACGAAAGAAAGTTTTGCAATAATATCCACGGATGCTTCTACTGCTTGTGAATATGCACCAAATACTTATTATCTTATGATAGACTTATTTTACAAAATGTTATGAAAATTGTATTATTTTTCTAGAAGCGGTTTAGTTTTTTATTCACGTTGCTTCCTCTGTTTTATTTACTATGAATTTTCGAGTGTTCTTATACTGTATATATGTTTTTTAATTAGGCTCAATATTATTTTCGTTAAAGCTTATATTTTATCACTGTTAAGAAAATGAATTATTTGCATTCCATTGAGTAGAATGAAAATTAATTTTAAATTAATTTCGTATATCGTTTAAAAGTGAATGCATTTTGGAGAGTAGAAGGCTGGCTTTTTAACTGGTTTAAGCAAAATAGACAAGAACTATTTGACTACGAAGATTAGAAGGAACAAAAATGAAATATTTACTTCGATCAGCCAAAGCAGTATGACCACTCATATTTTGGAAGAATCAGCTTATCAAAATGACGTAGGTGGCTTATGATAAGGTAGAACTACTATTTAGCGGATATAGAGAATTAGAGATTATAGGGGTATATTTTTCTTGTTGTTGACTACATATGCAGGTTAATGTGTGAAGCTTGCTGGTTTAAAACACTTTGATGTAAGTCACATTGTGATGACCCGAAGACTAATCTTCGAAACGGCTCTCCTCGTCGGATGTTCGTCAACTGCTTTTATTAGTACCTATGAAAAGTGAAATACTGACAGTGAATCCGGTCTAGACACCAATGCGTTGGACATCCACTCTTGATCAACTAATTCAGACATTCCAAGCTGTCCTACGGCCCACCAACGGCCGAGCGGTAAAGTCGCTGAACACTGGTAGTTCGGTCCGAGGTTCGAATCCCGCGAACGGGCTGGCTGCATGGGCGTTTTCGTGGTTTTCCCCATGTGTAACGTGTATACGAGCCAGTTTCCCTTAGAAAGTCCTCCACGAAGGCATCCCTCCTCTTAGGCAGATAGCCCTCGAGGCTTTGCCATACTCACACACACACACACACACACAAGCTATCCTACGCGGTGAAGGCAAATGAACGGCTGCTGGTGACTCAACTGGCAGCTGAATGAAAAATGCAGGACCAAGTGTATCTGATTACACAGTTCATCGAACTCTGTTGGATGTGGGACTCCACAACAAGCATCTCTCGCATTAGCTTTTGTTAACCCAGCATTATCGATGTTTACGACTACAGTGGGCTCATTAACATCATGATTGTACTACGTGATAATAGAAAAGAGTTGCTTCGTAGGATTAGTCACGATTTTGTTTACATCTCATCGATGAGCGTATTAGCGTACCACATTTTCTGGTGAATAGTTACACATGAACCGCGGAGCGTAAATATTAATGGAGGCATATTTTGGGAGACAGTCTCGTGAGAGTATTTGGGATTGGTGATTGTTGTAGGGTGCACATTGACCAGCTAAGGATTTGAGCATCAATGCTGACTGAGCACTTTTAGTCGGACAACACTTGTCATAAGGCCGAAATTATACCACAGTGGTCTTAGAAACATGCTGATGAGCTCCAATTGATGCCCTGCCCTCTTAACTCGCTGGATATTAATGCTCTTGAGCACATCTAGGATGCCAGGGAAAGCAAACTCAGAGCTCACAAACCACTTCTCCCTTATCCTAAAAAATTGTTTGACCATTGCATGCAAAATTTGTAGAATCTTCTTCCGAACATCTAAGTACATTATGTTACGTCCGGTTTCAACTGTTTTGCGGGCCAAAGGTGAAGAAATATGGTATTAGGAGGGTGGTGATAGTGTTTTGGTTGATTAGCGTAAGTTTGTTCCAAAGAAAAGTGAAAGATGTGTTTTCTTTTTTTTCCGATTAAAAGTAATCTCTATTCTTTATAACCGTTCCAAGCAATATACGTAGTTATTACTATAACCTAATCCGACTAATTAAACTGTTATACAAATTAAAAAAATTTCATTGAAATATTAAAAAATATATAGGTTCATTTCAAAACAAAACGGTGTTTCTCGTAATGTGAGGGAGAATATCATTTTGAGACACTCACATTAAATGGCTCCTTGTTGTTGCTGTGAGGGCTATAACCAGATCCCAGAGCTAGAATACATTGATCAGATAATGAATATCTACTTCCTGGCAAACTCTGAGACTGTAAATCGAAACTCCTGTTAGGTGGGGAAGCGTCGTCTTCTAAACACCATCCATAACCATTCCTAAAATATATACCACAAAAATGTTATGTTTCTTATATATATATATACAGAAAGCGTTCCAAAAATAACAAAAGAAGTAAAAATTGAATAATTTGAAATGTATAGATACTAACACTATGCAGTTTTCACAGAAATGCACAGAAAGACGTGAAACTTCCTTTTAATAATGAAAGTATTTTTGCAGTAATAGATATATTTTTACCGACATGAGGCACTTGAGTTGTGTCAGAAGTTCGTAGAGCTGCATATTATAGTTTGTAGGGCTGTTAGGATTACAGGTATTCAGTGTGAGGACCTTCACTCATGAAAATGACCTTCAGACATGGCACGACACTTTGAACAACATCGAAGAGGGTTCAGCTGTAATTCCGGTAACATAACATAACAGTAACATAACGGCAAATAACTTCTTTCAATATGGCGAATATCATTGGTCGACCTCTATGCAACCTCGACTCCAAGTACTTCACAATCAAAAGTCCCAAGGTATAAAGTCTGATGACCCTGATAAGAGTGAATTAGGTCGTGTCATCGCCGGATATCGATCACAGCAGATGCTGGGTAGAATCTTCGCGGAGACACCCCTTCCTGCATATTACGCTATAAAGCATTTACCTTTTTGCATTTTTTAAAAGCGCTATATAACCCTTGACCGCGACAGCAACTGTGTTAAAGGTACTTCGACTAAGGAAGACTTTCAGTTTCAAAACAAACTAATTAATTAGAATTCTAATATCTCCAAAAAATACTACTATCACTATTATTAATGAAACAATAATAATAAAAAATATTTGTAATAACAGCAATCATTTTACAAAAGAGTAATACAATTAAGTATGATACTAAATGACAACAAAGTTCTACATAATTTCATAAAAAAATGCTAGCTAGTTTTCAATCTAAAAATTATTTTCACCACCAAATTGCTATTTTCAATGACAGGGTATACCTAAATTATTATGGCGGTATAGTTTGGATCAGGCATTCTATCAAAATTTGGCCATTGGTTTCAATTTAGATTAAACTGTCTAATAGTCTCTTACCTCTTTTTTAACAAAATGGGTCTACTTCAGCTTCCTTCTCTTTTGGGTTACCTATAATTTATAACATTTTTTCTAATTTCCTGTTTTGAATTCTCTAAGTTTGCTCATAACTTTGTTCATAGTTTGCTAGACACAGCCCTCATTACATCACAATTTAAAAAAGTTTTTAAATTTATTTATTCATTCCTCAGAATTTAACCTTTTTTTATTTTTCAAAACTTATCACTCTCAATGCATTAAAATTTAAAAATATTTAAAAATTATTTTACTATTAAATATTACAACTTATTCCATTCGTTGAACTAAACACTGAAACTTTCTCCATTCGTTGAAATGAAGCGAATTTATACTTTACTCGAACTCAAATTAGCGGTCTTCTCAGGTTTCATAATTTAGAGTTCGATGTTTTTACCTTTTTCAAATTTTAATTTTTACTACTAGATATTTTATGCTATAAAAGGTGTTTTTTTCAAAGTATTTTTATTGAGTAAAATTCGTAATTTATCTAAATTCCTTACTTAACTCATTTTAGGCTTTGCTACTTTACAGGAGACTGTTTTTTTCATTTCAAAACTTTTATTGCTCTAATGTTTCAGATTTTAAGAACTAACTCATCTATTTTTCACTTTTTAAATTTTTATTTACAATTTTTAGACCAAACTTTCATTTATTTCATTAATTTTTTCATATGTTGGATTACTTTTGTTTACATATTTTTGGATTTGGTCCACTCAGATTGAAAATTATGATTAGATTTTTTAAGCTTATTTCTTGTTTATGATTTATACCATTATTTTTTTAATTCAGCTGTATATTTTCAAAAGTCGCATATATTTTTGTTAATTCAAGTACTGGATTCAAAAATTTGCACATGGTTTTGTTATTCTCAAGTACTGGATTTATTATTTTTGCAAGTTTTGCTTTTGGACTCAATATACTCAAAATATTTTTTTAATTAATTTTTTATTATTTCGCAATTTTATTGAATCTCTCTATGTTTTTGTAATTTTCCAGTTTTTTGCACTGTTTACTTTGGCCTTTCTGAGATTATTTTTAAAATTTTAAACTTTAATTTATGTATTTGTTGGTACAGAAAAAGGCTATTTTATTTTCTGCTTTCGTTGAGCCATCCCCTGATCGATGCAGGGAAAGATGTAAATTTCATATTTCATTATTTTTGGTTTTGGCATATTTTGCCTCTCTATTTCTTGCAATTTGCCACTGTGGTTTTGGTTTTTGCATATGGTTTATTCCAAATTGAATATGGAATGAATTTTAAACTTATTTTTATTTTACTTTGCATTATATATATATATATAAATTGAAATATTATTCTTCATGATGATTTAACTCCAGTCCCCGTTAAAACATTATTAAAATTTTGCTTTCAAATTATTTCAAAACATCTTTCAAAATATAACTTACCAGTATGGATGCACACTTTTAAAATAATTTTACTTTAATTAAACTTAGGAGATAATATAATCAATTAATCAATACTGTTTAGGAAATAAATTATTATTAACTAACTTTGCAGCAATTGCGCAAGTAATAATAACTTGTATTCACACTAAATGGATTTAAGATCATACAACATTATATATAATATATAAGAAATTTTTTTAAAAACCATTTATTAAAAAGATTATCCTATCCTAGGAAAATTTGTTTAGGGTATTTTCTCATGTTAATTGGTAGTGAAATTATATGTATATGTAATAATAAAATTCCATAGTCAAGAATACACTTAAAATTCTAACTGTATGTTCTTTTCATTTTTAATGGCGACGGGCTCTTATTTGAAAGTACGTGGAATTAAATCCGCAGCCCGGTAGTCAAGTTGTTTTTCCCGCTTTTACTACACGTACAGTTATAGAATGTTCTGGAAATATTTAAAGCGAACTGGATTGGCTGACGAGGCTGACGTCATTTCTTGGAAGCTCCGCCTTTCCAGAGGCTATAAAAGGACTCGCAAAGGAATATCAGGGGCTTTTTCTTAAATCTCACGATGCAGTAAACCTCATACAAAAAGTTATTAGTAATTCTTTTTATTTACTCTGGATATCTGATTTTGTAACTGCTATTTCTCCTGAATAATAATAAATGGATCCTGTTTTTTAAACTTATCGTCTGATAATTGAAGCTACGACTAAAGCTGGTACATCATATATATATATATATATATATATATAAGACAAAGTAAGAAATTTAGAAATAATATTTCACAAAGACCAAAAGTTTTAAATTATGGATTATCTGTTTAAATGTAAACATTTTGATTAAAAAAATTTTTCACTGAAGTATTTTGTTTCGTTTTCGAAGTATATTTGTACTTTCGTTTTCAATTCTTTTAATAAAATAGAGTTATCTTTATTTAAGGTTATTCTAATTATTCTAATTACAATTTACTTTGTTTTTTCCTTGCTTTGGGGAAGAGCCGCAAGGATTTTTGTAGAAAAGAGATTTCAATTTATTTCAATGTTCCCCCCTCCCCCCGACAAAGTGGTATTGAAGTTAATTGAATTCCTCTTCTGTTTTTGTTCGTTTTTCTTTAAATGTCATTAATGTTTTTGAAATGGGGTTTTGGTTGTTTGAAAAGGTTTGGTTTTTAACATTTTTAAAATTCTTTTTTGCGTTTATATGATTATTTGAAATTTATTAATTATGAATTTCAATTTTTGTTCTTTGTGAAATATTAGTTCTAAATTTCTTAGTTTATATCTTTAATGATAATTTTTCACCAGTTTAATGCACGAAAATACTAGGCATGTTTACATTTTGTTTTCAAAAGTATTGTTTTGTAATTTTATATATATATATGTATGTTAGGTTTAGTAAGTTATTTCTTTATTTGTTTTCAATACTCTGTTCTTTTTACTCTGTTAGGCATCATAATTGACATAACTGTAGACCGAAAAGTTTAAATAATTTCAATTATTATCGACAGTTTTGCTTAAAATAGCAGCTGATGAATTCTTAAATTGTGATTCTCAAATTACAAGAAATGATATATAAATTTAGTGGATGTCTGGCGTATTATAATAATTAAATTTCGCAAACTGAATTCTCTAAATTAAACAAGATCTTGAAATTTCTGTTTTATGGAAAATCTAATTTGCTGATGAATAAGTATAAAAAATATTCATGATGAAAAGTTTTCCTTAAAAGAAGCAGACAAAAAGGCGTCAGAAAGCATTTATATTTTCAAAACTGATGGGTAATTATCTTAACATTTTATAATGCAGAAATTTACGTTAGTTTTTTCGAGAATCAGTGGGAATGTAGCTACTTTTTAACAACAAGGGGGAAAATAATAATATCTGAATCTGTTGCTTCAGAGAAACAACAACCTAGAACAACTGTAATAAACTTCAATGGACGTTTCTTGTTTCTCATTTCTACCAAAGCACTGAAATGTTTCTTGATGCTTAGCAATGTACAGCAATACAAGGCAGTTTCATGATTTTTGACGTACATTGAAATTATTCCTCAGTTTCATCACAAAAGTTTTCATGAAGGTATATCTTCCCCTGTGTAGGCAGGGATGTGGTACACTGGTGCTAATTTATTTTCTATAAGTCTTTCAATTATATTTTATGTAACTTCTCAATAGTGTAACTGAAAGATCTTTGCAACATTTCCCATGTTTAATAACTTTGATCTCTACACTGCGTTTGAGAGTTAACAATAAGTGTGAAATTTTTTACCATTACAGTACATCTTTGAAGTATACAAGAAGGGGAGAAGGTTAGAGGCAGCAGCATCCTGCACAGTTCCGAATTCACACATTCAGTTTTGATTCCCTAAGAATTTAATAATTAATAGCTTAGCTGTTGTAGCTGTTGATTAGAAGCCTTACCAATAACATTAATGGCAGACCAACATGTATTTTGTGTGTTTATATGCACTATATGCTGCATTCTTGCAATAAAGTAGTTTAAAAGAATAAAATTTCTT